TTCATACACATAGCGCACGCATGCCCATTCATACACATAGCGCACGCGTGCCCATTCATACACATAGCGCACACATGCCCATTCATACTCATAGTGCACGCATGCCCATTCATACACAAAGCTCCCTATGTGGAGCTGCAGCCCTGGTGGGCAAACCTCACCTAGTGATGGAGGACTTGACACATTGACGTTTTGAGATGCCCGTGGCTGGAATAACTGAAGGAGAGGTTTGTGCCTGTGGACCTGTCCTTACTGTGGTGACCAGAATCCAGCATCTGTCCCCAAGGCCAGTCAGTGGTTTCTGAAAGAGCGATGCTGGGGGTATCAGGGTAGAAGAAAGAAGAATGGTCTGCAAGGTCCCTAGGTAGGATTAGTGGTTAAATCCTTACAATGTGGTATGTCAGATTTTAAAAGAACTGACTTCCTCAAGTCTGTACTATGGCAAGAAACTGCTTGTTGGTCCCTGAAATGGAAAGCCACTGGAAAGTGTATTTTAATTTGCTACATCCATAGTCTTATCTAGAACCCCAGGTTGTAGTTTGAGGGGTAGGGGAAATGCTCTGTCCCAGATTGACCAGTATCTACAGGGACCACTGTCCTGCATCATGCCAGCCCGGCTTGATTCCCATTCTGGGTGTCATGGTTCAACAAGATCGTATTTGCACATATTTCTTCCTTGGTCTCCAGATCTTTCTTCCCAGGGTTACTGAGAAACTTGACAGGATTCCAAAGACTCCACCTGCAGACCCTGAGAACCAGGCCAAGATGCCCAAGGTACACTCCACCACTACCTTCCAAGGCAACTCTCACAGAAGAAGAGCGGGAGCTGGGGGAGGGTGTGGAGAGTGACAGACAGTTCATCAATGCCTGAGGGTACACAGATGGGCTGGGCGGGGCAGGGTGGCTCCTGATGGGGAAATCCCAGAGATCCCAGCAAGATCCAGAGATGGGGACAGGTGGAAGGAATATCTGTCAAGCACACTCAGGCTCCTTGGCTCAGTTCTTAAAGCAGCTCTGAGGACAGGAATGTGACACCGCTCTTATCCTGCTTGGGGGTAATATTAGGTGGGGCCTTTACCCTTCCACACATATCAGAGTTCAGTAAGGGTCTTGCTAAAGCCACATATGTTCCCAGATACTTTTCCACCCACCTCAGGCATAGCAGCCTGGCACCTGTCCCCTGAGAGACACAGTTGCTGGTTGTTAGGGGTGAAAACACAGAGGAGCCGACAGGTGTCTGGGAACAGCATTGGGAAAATGGCCCAAGGATGAGTTCAGCACTTGGAAGACACTCTGACTGGGTGTGAGTGAAGGAAAGGCCTCGAGAGAAAGGTCCATGTGTCTAGGGGATGTTAGGAACAGAATTGGGGTGCTGTTCCCAGGCTTACTCCAGGCCCTACCCACCCAGGTACCCACTAAGCCATAGGGCAAGTCCAGCCATGTGTTAGCTTATTGGTTCCAAGTGTTGTTTTCTGTCCACACTTCACCTGTGTTACAGAACCCAGTTGGGTGGGCAGTGACACCTTGTAATAGTGACACATGAACTGAGGCTCAGGGGGATAGGTGTCTGGCAAAGGTTAAATGTGTGAGAATAACAGCAGGGTCCTGATTGGACCCTGGGTCCTGATATCCATAGGATTCTCCCGAATCCCCCAAAGCCCTGCCTCCAGACTCCAAGCTCTATCTACAGAAACATCAGCTAGGCATGCCGGGAGAATCCCAGACACTGGGAAATATTTCTGTAGTAATTGACCAATTTGGTCTCTCCACTCCTGAAAAGCGCAAACAGAGAATGAATTTCTTCCCAGGTTGTAGAGAGGTGGTCACTGGGAAAGGAGGGAGGAGGCAGTGGCTAACAGCAACCATAGGGAGGAGCTCAATTTATAGTCTGTGTCACCAAGGGTGAGCTCAGAGCGAGCCGTAGTAAGGAACAGCTCTGTAATTGGAACCCACACCACTGTCCTCGTTCCAACCCGCCACTCGAAGCAGGCAGTTCCCTGGCATCTCGTCCACGTAGGCACGAGTACATAATTTACAGACTGTGTGCATTCCTGTATCATTGGGCTTGACTATCAGCAGAGAACGGGGAAACAGGTGACCTTGGTAATTAAGGTCAGAATCAAAAAGAAGTCCCAAATTAGTTCAAATTACACCTCAGGGATGCCCAGAGATGTTGTTCTCTTCTTCCTAGGCCACAGCTGTCCCCTCTCTCCTGAGGAGGAAGTACTCTCCCAGCAGCCAAGGTAAGAGCCTTCCTGCTCTTCCTTCCTGTTCCCTTCCTGCTCCAGCCAGGCTCTGTATACATCTCCCTAATCCGTGGGAACCACCCTAGGCCCTGTCTCTGAAGAACACCCAGAAGGTCCACTGTGCCACCCTGGGGCCCATGCATGCTGTTCAGGGTGGCTTTAAGCAAGTGCAGGCAGTACTGGCAATGCTAACGTTCTTGTGGTTTCAGTATAAAGGGTCCCTCTAGAAAGCACAGACTATCAGGCCGTTAGAAGGCCTTACAGTCTCTCTGACGAGGAACATCATCTGTGCCCTGGGCACATAGATGCACACTAGTTACTTTTTCTGTCACTATAAAAGTTCTCTTTGAGAAACTCAAAGGAAGAAGCTAATTCTCCAGCTGACAGTTTCAGAGGGTCAAGTTCGTGCTTCCCCCACGCACTTGGGGGTAGCACACTAGGATGGTGACTGTATGTGGAGACGCAGATGGGAAGCAGAGACCAAGAATAGACTCCTCTTTGCATCCACTGAGGTCCTAGCACACATTAGGTTCACTGGAAGGACAGGAATGGTACCCCAAGTCCTCAGACTGGTTCACTGGAACCCTCAGGGTCAAGGTTAACTTAGAGAGGGGATGGTGAGGAGTGGCTGTTGACGTTTGGGAGCATCTGGAACAAGAAGACAGAGGTGATCCCGAGTCCTCTTTGTGGCTAGCCTCAAGGACAGACTGAGCCCCACCAAGAGGTCACTCACACTCAGCCCAAAGCCAGAGTGTCTCACAGCCGGGCCATTGGGGGACTCTGAGCATCCTTTCCGGTTCTTTACTACCGCCATCTCACTGCCAGCATGAAGCCAAAACAGGCTCATCACTGGGTCTACCAGGGCCAGCATGGCACCAGAGCAGATCCTCAGGGCCCTCTATAGGCCTGCAAAGCCAGCTGCATCCTCTCCACTCAGTGCTGTGATCCCTGGGACAGCTCTGTCAGGTGGAATGTAACTGCCTCCTGGGAATGGAATAACACCACAGCCATGTTGTCTGTAAGTCAGTTCTCAAAAAGAAAGGGGAGGAGAGAGGAGAGCAAGGGAGGGGAGGGGTGAGGAAGGGAAGAAAGGAAACAGGGAGGAGAAGGGGGTCAGGCCTGACTAAAGCACTTCACTGAATATGGGTCTAGAAAGATACAGCACTCTGGAGTGCTGCAAGCCAACCCCACTTCCTTCCAGCTCCAGAGATTCCCACCAGAGCCATGCAGGTGTAGGTTTTTGTCCAACCCCTTCACTTAAACAAACAGTTGGTTAAGGATGGAGGCAAGGCCCCCAACTCTGCAGTCACAGGCCTAAAAGACTTCTGCCCTGAGGATCAGAGTGCCAGCACCTCAGGCCCATTGTCCTGTCACATAATTATGTGACACAGATACATATGCTCCTGACCCTAGTGTCCTAAGCTCCCTATTATTCTTCCAGGGCCACAGAGAAGAAGGATACAAACTCTACTTCCAGTGACCTAAAAGACTGGGCCCCGCCTCCTGTTCACAGGCCCCATCTCTTTCCTGCTGCCCGCCCCCTTCCTGCCCACTAGCCCCACCCCTTTTCTTGGCCTCACCCTTTCCCACTGGCCCGCCTGCTTTCTCAGTGGCTCCGCCTCTTAATAGAGAAGCTTTCTGAACTTCTTTTCTACAGAGCCACTGAGTGTGCCATGCAAAGTCTGCCACAGTGTGAAACCTCGACAGAAGACATGTCCACATCTATGACGCTGTCTAATGTCTGAAGTAGACAAGAACTCGTTCGGATAGGTCTTTGATTCACTGTCTCCCCTCTGTTTTCCCAAAGGCATAGATGGTAGTTCTTTTGATCGGAAATCAGTGTACCGTGGCTCGCTGACACAGAGGAACCCTAACGGGAGGAGAGGAACAGCCAGCCATATCTTCGCGGTAACGTTTCCTCTTGTCGTTGTGAGCCCTGTCAGCTTCACATTTTGATATTGAGTCAAAAGCTAAAGACATTGGAGGGGGGTGGGGGTAAAGAGAGAGAGGGTAGTCATCAATCTGCAAAAAGAGAATTGAAAACATTTCTTAAACATACCTAAGTATGTGCTCACTCTGGAAGCACATATACAAAGAAGGGGGAGGGGTCCTGAGTACATTAATGAGAGAAAGAATGGTAATGGTAAACCTGCAGACTGTCTAAGCACACAAGGGACAGGCTAAGCTCTGAACAGCGGCCAACCAAGGTGCTATGAGGCTGAACCCTCAGGCCAGGCAGGGCGACTAGATACAGAGGGTAGACCCTGAAAACCCTCATTTGAGCCTTGGGGCCCTCAAGTTCAGCAACAGGAGCCCTAGACACAAGGACAACTGTGAACTGCCTTAGGCCTCTGCACTGAGCCAGGGGCATGCCCAGTGGTTCCACTCAGACATGACACTGTGACATCTCAGGTGACAAGACTGTGGCCTTCATCCTGGAGATACTTGCGGTGATGGTGACAAAGTACCTTTGATCAAGACCTAAACACATTTTGTGTTACTGTTATTTCATTACTGGGAAAAATACACTAGGCAGGCAGGCTACATATAAAGAAAATAGGTTTAGCTAACTCACACTTCTCGAGAGTTCAAGGGACATGATGCTAGCAGATGCCTGGAATTGTGGGAATATCTGTGAGGAGAGAGCATTTCACCAGGCAGGAGGGCAAGGAACACTCAGGAGTCATAAAAGTCAGATGCAGACTTTAAAAGGTGTGTATCTATGTGACTCTGTGTGTGTGTGTGTGTGTGTGTGTGTGTATGTGTGTGTCAGCATGTGCTGTGTGTGTAGGCACCAGCAGAGAAGGCCATTGGATCCCCTAGAGCTGTGACTACACCTGGTGAACCACCTGGATGTGGGTGCTAAGTACCAAACCCGGGTCTTCTGGAAGAGCCAGAAGCTCTTTTAACCACTGAGCCATCTCTCCACCCCCGTGCTGTAGTGAAAACACTCTGGGTCCCAAGAGAATGTTTTTTATCCTTTCCAAAGGCATGTCCTCAGTGACCTTCAGAGCTCCCACTAAACCCTGCCCTTCGAGGACCACCACCACACTGGGACCAGACTTCCAATATATGAACACTGGAGTATACCCTACATTCAAGCTATACCACCCTCATCCCCTGTCTCTCTCCCATCCCCATGTTACCAACTCAGCCCAAAGTCTAATGTTCATGCCAGCTTACTTCCAGTTCCAAGGGTGAGCTGAGATCTGCCTGGCTCAATGTTTCAAACTTTGTCCAGAAAGACTAAACTCCAAATTTATTTTCTTTAAAAGTTGCCATGGACTGGAGGCATAGCTTGGCAGCAGGCTGTCAGTTCAACATGCAGGAGGCCCTGGAATTGGTCACCCATGCCACAGGGAATGCAGTAGTTATCTTGGGATGGTCTAAGCATTTCTTTAAAATGGATGTGTGAATCTACCTGCTCTCTAGGCTGAATACTGATGACTGCTGAGGAAGGGTGTTTCATTGGTTGGCACTGGCGGTGGCCTATGCCATTGTCCTCCACGTGCAGCCCCTCACAACATGTATCATACTCATAGCTCATGACAGCACTGTCTCTCTGTGTCTTGGACCCCAAATTGAACCTCCTCCAAGGACGGGTCTCTGTGTATATCCAGCTCTTTGCTGTCACTTAGAATGTAATGTGTCCTCAGCAAGCGAATTTTACCTGAATTCTACACCCAGCACCCATCCTATGCAAGTCCATGTAGGTATCACATACTGAGAGGGATATAGCCCTCAAGCCCCCAGCCAGCCCTTCCCTGACACCTAGGAGGTAAGTGCTTAGGCCTGGAGGCCCTGAGCCCTTTCCAGGAGAAGCAGTATCTGTGTCCTGGTGTTTGTATGCCTCTGCTCACACTGTTCTTCTGTGTTCTCTAAACTCATGTTCAGAATGGGATGGAGTCAGATCATCTGAAGCATCTTCTAAGTTCTCCTCCCCATCTCTGGTAGAGCTGCAGCCAAGAGCAGAAGCTTCAGTGAACAAAGGTAGCTGGGCAGCTCTGAAGAAAGCTTCCAGCTAGGAGCTCACTAAACTGGCCACATCCTGCAAGCTCATCTTCCTGGAGAGACAGAATGAAGTCAGAGCCCCCAAACTACCCTCTCAGTAAATAGGCCCTACTGGGGGACCCACATGAATCATGGCCTCTCATGGTCATGAACTCCTTGTTTAGAAAACAGGGCATCACAAGGTAGAGATGGAAGAAAAGTGGAAAGATACTCATGAGATCTCTGTGAGTTCAAGGCCAGCTTGTTCTACCTAATGAGTTCCAGGACAGCTAGGGCTATGTGGAAATACCCTGTCTCAAAATATAAAACAAACAAACAAACAAAGGCTGGCAAAAAGCAAACACAAGCAACTGAGTTATGTGTGGACATATGAGCCCACAAAGCCAGGGCCTCGACTGTGTACTGTATGTATATTAACATGGCTGAGACTGTGTCTCTCTGTATACATGCCCACATTTTTCTTCATACATACCCATGTCTATGCCTATGTCTATGTGTGTACCCGTGTGTCATGTACATGCTGGTATGTGTGTCTGTGCATGCCCACGTGGATATCAGTGTACATACCTGTATGCGTCTGTGTGCATAGCACACCTCTCTCTCTCTCTCTCTCTCTCTATATATATATATATATATATATATATATATATATATATATATATATGTGTGTGTGTGTGTGTGTGTGTGTGTTTATATATACATGTTTATATATGTGTGTGTATATATATATATATTTCTATATGGCACAATCTGGTGTGTATATCTGTGTGTACTGACATGTGTGCATGCACATGTACATATATATAAGTTTGTGTCTATATTCCCACCTGTGTAAACACATATATATTTGTATGTTTCTCTGTTATATCTGTATCTGTCACATAATTGTGAGTATATTTGTTTACTTCTGTGTGAACACTTTGCACATGAACCATTGTGCACACCTAAATGAACACATGTGTATTTGTGCTCTACAGAAACCTGTGATGGCCCAGCAGCCCTAAAGGGGAGGCTCATGGCACAGGACAGTATCACAAAGCACCCCCACAGTTTCCTCCACATGGCCATCGCATCCCCATGGGCTCTGTGCTCACAGATGCCTGGAATCATCCTCCCAGTGAGAAGTAAGAAGAACTTCGTGTGGGGATCCACTTGTGAGACTTCAGGATCTCAAGCCCAGCTGTCACCAGATCACCAGCCCGAGCCAGGGCACCTGCCAGCCTCTGACCCGGGAAATACAAACTATGTGACTTCCCCTCAGTTGATGCCTGCTGAAGGACACTCAGTTACCCTCTCACTGTGATTCTTTAACCCAATCTTCAGCTTTGCTGGGCCTCACTCACAACTGGGATGGGAAGAACTGGTTCAGAGGAGGCCCTGAACATGTGCACATTCCTGACTGTGTGCACATGTGCACGAGAGGGGGGGGGAGAGAGAGACAGAGAGACAGAGAGACAGAGAGACAGAGAGACAGAGAGAGAGAAGAGAGAGAGAGAGGAGAGAGAGAGAAGGGAGAGAGGAGAGAGAGAGAAATAAGAGTGTCTGTGGGCATGATGGGAGAGTGTACAATTGCAGGTGGTGAATGAGGCTGGGTGGATTCCTCACCCACCCCACAGACATTGTTCTTCAAATTTCCATGTGTGTTACAGATAAAAGCAAATAACACTGACCACCCCCAACCTAATATTCCCACCACAATAACCACCACCTACAGTGCCACACTGAGACCAAGCCTCCAACACAGGCTTTTGGGGTACACTACATAGGGACCTCGTTTTCTAGATAGCTCATGCTTCAAATGCAAGCTTCTAACACACAGATGACTGCTCTGGGATTTATCAAGAACTCAGATCTTCTGAAGTCAGGTATGTCAGAGCCAGTTTTGCTGCATAGTCTGCCCTTCACATCACTGCAGGGAGGCTGTTCCCCACACCCAGGGCTGCCTCTTCCCTGTCAGCTTATATCCTGTTCTGGGAGTCTAGAGAGCACACAGGCCAGAGCCACATACATCCTAGTGTCTTCTGAGACTAAAACTCCAGGAAGAAGCCTCTCACCCTTTCAGAGATGCGCCTCTCAGGAGCTTCACACTTGTTTCCAATGTCCTTCTAGCAAAGTCCTACAAAACAAGCTAATGCAGGAAGTATGTCCTCCTGTGCTGCCTGTGCCCTGACTACTGGCCACCTAACCTTACCTGCCCTTGGGGTTGGAGGTGAAGTGGCACAGAGTCAACAACACAGACTCCAGGAAGAGGTGAGAAACAGAAACGCTGCAGCAAGTTCACCTGAACGCTGCTGCACGCTCCTTTAATACCCTCCATCCACGCCCCATTGGTCCCAAGAAAGCATCCCTTCTAAACAGCAGTTCCCGATTGGCTGACATTGTCTGCATCAGCAATCCTTGGTCTCTCAGGCAGTCCTCAATTAGGTCCTCCTGTAGGAGATGGTTTTGAAGCTGCACAAGCCCCCAGTGTTCCTGAATTTCAAAGGACAAATGTCCAATCAAGGGATCAGTGGAGTCTGCAGTTCTGAGGGGTGGGTGCCTCTGCCTGCTTCCAGGGACTGCAGCCATCCCGTTGTACCTTGGCATCCGGCAGCGTCGTTGCAGGCTCCATACACCCCTTCATGTCACCTTGCCTTGTACATCTCTGAACAGCTGTCCTCTTGTCAGGGTAACATTTGCTGTGTGTAGTGCCCCCTTTACCCGGTATGCCTGCCTCAGTCAATACACTTGCAAAAGCTCTGTTTCCATAGACGACTCTTTTCCTGAGGTTCTAGATGGGTGTGAACTGGAGAGAGACTGACCCATTACAGAGCATGACAGTTCAAAGACCGCAAAACTTTGCAGTGCACTCCCACAAAACAGAAAGGTCTCGCCGCTCTGCTGAAAGCCTGAGGAAGACCAAGAGGTGGGCATTGTCCAGGGAATCCTGTTAATGGGGCTTCCTTCACTGCAAGGAGTAGAACCCCATTTAAGTAGGAGTGTTGGGAAAGGCACAGAGCTTTTTCCTGAAGCCCAGGAACACAAGCAATCCAGCTTCAGGGGGTTCGGGTGATGGGGGGGCGGGGACACACACTCACAGCCTCTGCCTCCCTATATGACCCTGCTCTTCAGTTTGTCTGTCAGTTGTTCAGAATTTCAGGCAATGCCCCATGGTCATGATCTCTTCAGCCACAGTTCTGTGATTAGGCCTCTCTGACAGGCACAGCTTTCTACCTCAGAACCCAGGGGCCAGTTACTTAGAGCCCTGTGCTTCCTCCACACTGACCACTTAGAACAGGCCTATGCCAGATAAGAAATCCTTTTGCTGTGCCCAAAGCTGGTTCTCCTGCTCTGAGACCCATGGTCCATTAGTATGAAATGGGAAAGGCTCCCTGACCTCTGGTCAAACCCTCCCTGTAACCCACTTCTCAGCTCTGAGGTACCCAGGTGATGCCTGCAGCTCTGTGGGTCTCTACAAGAGCATCACAGGCCACACCTTGCTTGCACTTTGCCACCTGCCTTTGGAAAATCTCCAGTTAACCACAAGAGCCCTCAGGTCTGCAGGCCCTTTGCCTGGCGTCATCAAATATATGGTAAGGAGACTAGGCTAAGACCAAGATCCTTGTGCTGCCTCCCACTCTGCCTGCTGGCTCCCATTTGAACCCTCAAAGGGACAATATGTCCATACTACACTTGGGTAAAGCTACTTTACCAAAAGGATTTATGATTCTACACACACACACACGCACACACACACACACAGAGAGAGAGAGAGAGAGAGAGAGAGAGAGAGAGAGAGAGAGAGAGAGAGGAGAAAGGCAGCGACAGACAGAGACAGACAGACAGACAGACAGACAGACAGTGACAGACAGAGAGAGACAGAGACAGATGGACAGATGGACAGACCTAGACCCATGATGATGTTCAGGATACCCAGTCCAGCTCCTAAGGTCTCACACCAGTCCCTATGGGCCCTAGGACTGAGCACACACATCCAGGGGAATTTCCTACAAGACAGAAGCATGTGCTACCAAGGCAGTTCTCACAAGGCAGGAGACCAGGCTTTCACCATTGCTAATGCCCGAGCTAGCCACAGTCGGAACCAAGGCACCATGCAAAAGTTTAAAACTCCCCTTGACCCTAATCTTCAGGCTATGCTCTCCTCCTCCTAGAGTTCTTTACCATACTCACCTCCTACCAGATCTCCCAAAGAGCCCTCTTCCAAGGAAGAGGCAGCCATGCCTTGAGAACGCAGATGTTGTACTGACCACAAAGTGTGTCCAAAGGATGAATTGGCATCCTGAAGCTGTTCCTACAAGTCTAGTGGTGGCCAGGAAATGGCGATCCCAGGAAAGACACCTGCTTTGTCTCTTCTCATGCACAGTTCCTTCAAGAATGTTCCATTGCACTTAATATTTCATATAATCTGTAACTATTGACGTGGTGATGATGGGACGAGTTTAGTGGCAGAATATTGCATGGTCGTTTTCAACAGCACAGACCTACAGATACTTAAACACTTCCAGAATATGGCGGTAAAAGAATGAGGTTCAGCACCTATAAGCAGGATGAGTCTACCCAGAAGGTGTAGGGAACTCCCCAGCCGTGAACATCAGAAACGCAACACAATGGCCAGTTCACATCATCTGAGCTCATCTACCTACTTTTTTGTACACTTATTTTTTCTCATTACATGTAAATTGCCTTTACAGCCTAATAGACTTCCTTTTTTAAAGTTTTTTTGTGTGCTCATGGGGTAAGGTGTGTACATCTATGAGGGACCCTGTGTGCTTGTGCATAGAGACCAGAGATAAATGTGGTGTCTTCCTCAGCCATTTTTTCACTTTCTCTTTTTTGAGTCACTGAACCTAGAGGTTGTCAATTTAACTAAGCTGACTGGCCAGTGAGCTTCAGAGATCTTCTGCACCTCTGCTGTCTCTACCTCAGCAACGGGGTTATGGACCGGCGCCACCACGTTCCACCTTTAAACCTACTTTACAATAAAAGTAACACTCTGTTTTGTTTTCATTGTTTTGTTTTGCTTTATTGAGACAATCTGGTCTTGAACTCATACCCATCCTCCTGCTTCAGTTCCCAGAGTGCTCGGGTTATAGTCATGTACCACAACACCAGACTTCTGTTTGTATCAACAGACTTGGTGTTTTCTCAGTCATAGACTCGGGATGAACTAGAGGAAATGGGTCTGGAGATGGCACATGTGGATAAGCAAGCTGAGGGGACAACCAGAATACGAAGCACCCACCTGGGCTCGAGGGACTTCCTGGCCACAATTCCAGGAAATCATGGCTCAGGGGAGGCAGAAAAGGGGAGGGGGGAAAGTATTCAGAAGAGACCATATTCCAGTTTGGCGGCCATGCTCTCATTGAGAGGATGGGTGGACACGTCACTGTGGAGTCTGCCCAAAGGCGAGCATGAAGAGGGGGAGGTTAATGTGTTTTAAAGCCACTTGGCCCAAATGAAATTATATAATTCAGGAAGGAACAAATCACACCACTGATGAGAGGGTTTTTTTTTAAAAGAAGGTAAAAAAGAAAGGAAAGGAAAAAAAAGACGGAGTGTCTTGATGAGAGAAGAGACGCAGTGGGAACTGAAGGCTATAAGCAAAGACACCATCTCAAGGAGGGGACGGGGGCGTCCTCTGCCTCCTTGCTGGCCTATAAAAGGTGGGCAGCCAGGCAGGCCTCACCTCACACCCAGGCAGCCTTATCGCCACAGTCAAGGGACAGAGGGTGAGTAACTTGGCAGTGCTGGAGAGGGGTGGGTGTTGCTGTGACTTCCAGCTCCTCTACAAGTGTTTCTCTGCCAGGCTTACTGGGCAACCAGGTACAGACACCAAGCAGGACAAGCAGAGAGAGCTACCTGTGATCTGTGGTCTAGGACCACACGCCCTCCTGGGGTTTCCATGGCCGTCCATGACGGAGGGCAGGTGAAGGTGCCCCTCAGTGGGACACCTTCTCAAGCAGAGTCCAGAAGGTACCCTGGGCAGACAGGTCTGCAGCACTCCAGAAAGTGGGTACCCAGGGCTCAGGGTAACCCCTGAGAAAGTGGGGAACCAGGGTCAGCTAGTAGTCAAGGTTCTCATCACCCAGCCTGAGTGGGTGCAGTCTTTACAATGATTCATGGTGGCACCTCCATTTCCTCTAGTTGGGGTTGCCCTGCACTGTGTGGGACATCACAGCAAGACTGTGAGGAGGAGGGGGTAGACATTTTAAAGAGCTCTGGTGGACAGCTCTGTGTAGAAAAGGAGGAGCCGGAGAGCCAAAGTCAGCTAGGGGGTCTTCCTTGAGCATCTTCTAATAGGACCTGAAATGTCAGGGGCAGGAAGGAGGAGAAAAGGGTCCCCTGCAGGAAGTATCACAGATTGATGCTATGTGGTAGGTCAGCACGCTCCCTCAGCAGGGTACCAGTTCCTGTCCACAGCAGCAGAAGCCCTCTCTTGTCATTCAAGGGGGCTCTGTGAGGAGAAGCAGGTGCCACAGGCTCATTCTGGAGTCTCAGCAAACTAGGTCTGAAGTTCTGGGTTATTGTAGGGACTATGAGGTGTGAGCTCACTAAGGATGTGGTGTGCTAAACATTCTCCATTGTCTGCCTGGCTCTCAGTGTAGGAGGCCCCAGACCAAGTGTGGGGAAGGACTGCGCACTGAGGTCCCAATACTCCCCAACCCCTTGCTACCTCTGAGATTGGGCAAATTGTTCTCCACCTCTGCTGACCACAGGGCTCCCCATAAATCTGCTTCCCACTAAGGCCTGGGTGTCTACCTCCCAGGTCCTGACACAGATGGACAGACAGGCCCAAGGATGTCCCAAGACAGCTACCTGTGCACAGCTCACACATCTCCCCTGATACGTGTAGCTATGTGCACTAAACATATGCATTTTCACACCTCCTAGGCACGAACACAATCTATGCACACATGTACATCTGCACAAACAACCTGGGATCCCTCCCGGTTTTACGCATGCAACTTACCCTGAACCTCTACCTGCAGGCTACACCATCCCCTGTGGGATCGGATCTCCAGGGCGTTGTCCAGGAAGCCAGAAGCATGGCACTGAGGACCTGGCTTTTGTGTTTGCTACTGCTAGGCTTAGTCCTCTCAGGAGCTTCCAACCGAGCCCACCAGCACTCCATGGAGACCCGCAGTGAGTGTCCAGCTTATGGAAGACAGCTTCTGTCATCGTCCCATCCATACACTCCCCAGACGCCTTGGATACCCAGCACCTGAACGGGGCTTGGCCATCCCCTAAGCCAGTGGTTCCCAACCTTCCTAATGCTGCAACCTTTTAATACAGATCCTCATGTTGTGGTGACCCCCCCCCCAGCCATAAAATTATCGTGTTGCTATTTTCATAGCTGTAATATTGCTACTGTTATGATGTTAATATCTGAAATGCAGGATGTCTGATATCAAAAGGGTCACAACCCACAGGTTGAGAACCGCTGGGACCTAAGCAAAAGCTACCTTGCTATGCAGTCAAGGAGGTTGATCCTGTTAAATGGGCCTCTCCCCAGAATGGTTCTGTTCCCTGTCCTCGCCATTCCCCTGCCCATCTGGGTGGGGCCCCTTAAGAATTTGGGGGGGTGAAGGTCAGACAGGAAGAGAATGTTGGTCCTGGTATACATCTAAATTCAGTTCTTAAAGCTACACCACTGCCCAGACCTGGCCTGGCCAGCCTCATCAGGGTGGGTGCCAACATGGCCTAGTGCCCAGGTTTCCACCTGCTTAGGGACTCTGTGTGGGGAACACTGCACCTACATGCCAGACGTCCCATATGATGCTCTGACTCTTTCATTTCCAGCCCCTGACATCAATCCTGCCTGGTACACGGGCCGTGGGATCAGGCCTGTGGGCCGCTTCGGCAGGAGGAGGGCAGCCCTGAGGGATGTCACCAGACCTGGCCTGCGGTGCCGGCTAAGCTGCCTCCCACTGGATGGAAGTGCCAAGTTCTCCCAGCATGGCTAACAGCCCAGCTCAGGCTGCTGAGCCCAAGCCACACACTCCCTGTCCCCTGTAGAGCCTCCTCCACCCTCCCTCTCCTCTGTTTTCCCTCTGATCTAATAAAAGTGCTGGCTTTGTTTACTGTACACTGTAACTGTGTGGTAATGAGCTGGAAGGTGCTTTCTCTCTGGGGAGGTTAACCATGAGAGAAGCTCAGAACCCAGTAGCCTCTTTGCAAAGAGGAGGGTCCCACCTGCCCCCCAGTAGAACATCTAAGACCACTCATTACCAGGCCCTGCAGGGGTTGTGCTGGTCCCTTAAGATCCTGCACGAGGGGAAGGGAATGTTGATTCAGTGTTCCTGTAAATTCCTGTTCTCCAAAGTCACACTACTGCCCAGAAAGGGGGTGCCCTTTCCTTGATACTTGCTCCCATGAGTTCCTACCTACCCAAGGTTCTCTGAAAACATACTCAGCTTGCATACTGCATAAAGCCAGGGTGACCACACCCTACACTATGTAAGATACTTGGTCCCAGAGAAAGGCTGCACAATGCCCTTCACACAGCCCACTTCCTTCTCTTGGCACTTTTAAGACTAACTTTTAGAGCTGTCTGGGGATTTGCTGTAAAAATTAGATGCTATTGAGATGGTCCTCGGAGCTGTGCCCCCAGGGCTCTGTTCCCAGCACCCAGGACCTGTGGTGTCCACTAGGTTCATGTCTGGTACTGTGTCTGCTGTTTGGGCAAATGCATTACTTAGCTCCACCAGCTCAGTGACGATGTGGTGTCCCTCACCACCCTGAACACACCCCATTCCATGTCCCTTGCAGAATCCTGGCAGCCACAGACACACACGGTCAGGTTAACCTTCCTGCTCAGAGGAGAATCCCAGAGAGACCTGAGCCCAATCTTTTTGATCCTATAGGTTCCCTTTAAAGTCACCTGGGGTGTCTCTATGCCCTTCGTCAAATGCTAACCTGCTTTGGAGTCGGGGCACACACCTACTCTATGTGGGTACCTGAGTCAGAGTAAGGTGGCTGGCAACATGACACAGCTGGTGCCCTCAGAAAAGGGGGAAAAGTCAGACAGGAGCTGAGGGAGACTCCATGGGAAGCTGGGGCAGCTGAGATTCACCTGCACAGAGGAGTGGCTGCCAGCACCCTCATCCACCAGCACAGGAGCCTGAGCTGACCTCCTCCCGGCTCAGAAGGTACCATCCTACCCACACATCAAGGTGGTTCTCAGCTGGCTGCTGTCTACACTGTTCCACTCAGGCTACCCTCAGGCTGCCGTGACTGTTGTCACAGGATGGCTTCTCTTCAGTTCTTCCCACTCCCTGTATGCTCCAGCTCCTTCCAAAGCCACTTTCACCTGGGGTGATGACCTGCAGCTGAGGTGTGGGGCACAAGTAGGGAATCTGCTGGGATCTCAGATGAAGGTCTAATGACCGTCCCCATCCCTCCCCCCGTGCAGGAACATCAACAGGCTGGTTCTTGTTGAGGGTTTCCTGCAGGCAACAGCAGCTGCTCTTACAGCAGTGGTAATGCCTGCCATGCTTCGAGGACATCCTCCCATAGCCGTTCTCCAGAAACGGACCATCTCCTCATCCAGAAGGATGAAAGGAGGCGTCCTCATCTTTTCCACAGTCTTGGAACAGTTTAAAAACATACAGAAAATTTCACAAGACATTGTAAGGACTAGCTCAACCTACATGAACTCATCAGCCATCCTGTTTGCCAGCTTCCCACTTTCTGTCCTTGTCAACTTACACTTGGCGGCAACCTACAGACATCAAGATGTTGCCGAAAAGAGTTCAGCACCTTTCTCCCAAGAATAAGACAAAGTGTAAGCCTGGAAAAGTCAGTAATTCTCTTCTCTTCTCTTCTCTTCTCTTCTCTTCTCTTCTCTTCTCTTCTCTTCTCTTCTCTTCTCTTCTCTTCTCTTTCTCCTCCCCTCCCCTCCCCTCTCCTCCCCTCCCTCCCCTCCTCCCTCCCTCCCTCCCTCCCTCTCTCTCTCTCTCTCTCTCTCTGTATTTTTCTCTATCCCTGATCTTATTGTATTTCATCATAACATTGACCTTCTGAAGCACCCAATGGGCTGTTCTTTAAAATGATCCATGCTGACCATCCCGCCTGGTGGTGTGCCTGGCTCTGCTCCTGCACTTCCTGTCATAGAAAAGGACCTGGGCCTTAGCAGGATATTGTGCTCCGCTGTCCAAATGACTCCTCCAATGGAGTCCTGGGTCCCACCTTAACATGTTAACCTAGACCTTGAGCTCGGGGCCCTGCCTCTCAGCTATAAGAGCCTTCTCCAGTGTGATTCCAGGACATCACTGACCTCAGTACCAGATCCATCCAGTCTTGGGCTTTCTGCTAGAGTGTCAAAGGGAGCAATACTAATCAGTCAAGATACAGGAGAGACTGGAAACCAGACAGACTGGCACCTACAAATCTTCTTGGTGTTCCCTACTTCCTCTAAGCAGTGACATTCACCTTAAGATATGCACCTGAATCTCTAGGGACCCAGGACCCAACAGAAGGATTTGTCTTAAGTGATACTGGACCGCCACCTAGTGGTCATACATAACCTGGCCTCTCATCTCCTCTAGAGTGGGCTTGCCTACCTGCCTAATGACTCCCCAGCCCTTGGGGATGATGAGGACAGCCTGGGATGCTGAATATTCATTTCCCCTGTTTCACGTGTGTGAGTGAGTCATCAGGTGGTCACTATCTATCTTCCCTAGCTGTCAGAAAAGCAGTTGCCCATCATCAGCAGACCTCACTAGAAAGCGGGCCAGGAAAGGGTGAGTGAAAACCTCCCGAGTGGATCTCCTCACTGATCCCGATAACAAGCCTTTCCCTGTGTGGTTCACATCTGTCCAGTGGTCACAGGGTTTCCTTCAGGTCATGTCAGGATTACATCAGTACCCAGAAACTCACAATTGTTCCCAGGCCCCAGAACTGAAACTGGATCCTTCTAGAAGTGCAGCGGAGCCAGAACGTTGCCTCCAATCCCTGGCCTGAGCCCCACGTGAAACCTGAAGGGAGATAGCTGGTGTGTTCCTGTCCAAGCAAAGCCAATGAGAGCAGAAGTCACACCCCAGGCACAGACAAGCTCCTGGCCCCCCTGAGTATACTTTGAATGAGAAGATGGAATAAAGGGATTTCAGGTTTGTCCATTTGACCTTTACAGTGGGCAGAGTGGAGCCATCTTCCTCTGTGAGATACCAAGGTTCCAGTCTGTGGTGTTCTTTAAGGTTTGTTTTATTCTGTTAGTTTTGATGCTTGTTTGGTCTTTTTGTTTGTTTATTTGTTGTTTGCTTGTTTGTTTTCCCACTGTGCAGCCCAGAGTAAGCCTGCCAATCTCCTGCATCAACTTCACATGTGTTGGGATTTGAAGTCTACATCACCACACCCAACAACAACATCTCATTATTCAGACTCTGGAGTTTACCACACTCTCAGAAGCAAGAATTTAAAAAAACAAAAACAAAAAAAACAGCTTTGCTCCCTAAATGGCCACATCTGGCCCTAGCAAGTGTCAAGACAGAAGAACCAATAAGAGGATGTCCTCTGGGGTTTTCCTCCCTGTACCAGGACCTGGGTTTCTCTACAAAGATAAGAACTCACACAATCACCATCAGAAGAGACAGTCCACACAGACAAATGCCGGTGCCCACCCTTGTTACACTCTACCCATGAACCTTCACCATGTTTAACACCCACAAACCCATCTTTAATGTGTGCAGGAAGACTGAACTGTGTGGCCGGGCAATGGTGGTGCACACCTTTAATCCCAGCACTTGGGAGGCAGAGGCAAGTAGACTTCTGAGTTTGAGGCTGGCCTGGTCTACAGAGTGAGTTCAGGACTGCCAGGGCTACACAGAGAAACCCTGTCTCAAAAAAACAAAACAAAAAAAGACTGAACATGTGACCTGTCCGGCCATGGGTCCTAGTGTAACCTCACGAAGTGGTCGGATTGTCAAGACATTTAATTTAATATTTGGAGAAAAGGACACGAGAGAGCACAGTGTTCCTCTCAGGACAGGGGTTTTAGAGTCCTCAGATCACCAGATAGAAACCTGGCTCCGTCCACTCACAGCTGGAAGGGGGACACTTCCATCCCAGACACTGTTCCAGACTGTCTCTCCAGCATCACCTCAATGGGACTTAGAATCTTGGGCTCATCTCTGCATTATTCCTTGTATCGATGCCCCTTCTCTTCTCCCAACAGTTCTCAGAACGAACATGGTCCAGTTATGGCCAGCTGCCCAGGATGAAGCATCTGTCCTCCCATCCCACGGATCAAAGAATTTTTCCAGTTCATGAGTATTCTCTGCTTCATTTAACTCTTCTGCGATGGTTTCAAGGAAGCTGAAAGAGCCAGCCCAGGTGGAGCAGGTAGACTTGGCTCAGGGCATCCAGGTATCTGGGTATCTGGTAAGGTAAGGCTGACAGTCTTCTGGGAGCCATTTGACCCTGGATCCTCTGTGAGACAGTTCCCATCAGCTTTGGCAAGCAGTTATTACAAAGGAAATTCCAAGCTTTGGCAGCCAGCAGGGCTTGAGCATAAGCCATCTCTGACAGAGAACATGAATGGACAAAGAGCCAGCAGATTTGTTGTGAAGATGTAGCTTGGGCTGGGGACCCTCTAAAGCACAGCCGAGATGTCCTCCACCCACTCTCCTGCAGTGGCTATCATGCACAGCACTGGCGCTGCCTGGCCGGAGGTTCCTGGTTCAGACTCACAGCCTCACCTTCCTGTGGGCTGCTGCTCCCCCTGTCTCCTGCTCTCTGCAATAGCTCCTGGGCTGTGGAAAACAGGGAATTTACTGGAGAAGGAATCGCATCACCCAGAACCCTAACCCAAGCACTCCCTATTAGTCTCCCTCATGCCCCTCCCTGCCCCATGGACACCAGAAGACACCCAGGGAGGAGGCATATCAGCGAGCTCCCACACGCCTGTGGAGGGGCGTCACTCACCAACAGTATTGAAGATCTCAGACACCTGGTAGTTCAGCTTGGCAGAGGTTTCCATGAACAGCAAGCTTTTGCTCTCCGCAAACTCTTTTCCTTCCTGAAGGAAAAAGTCAGTGTGTTTAATGAGAGTCCCTCCAAAGACATGTGGTTGACTCACAAGAAACAGGAATACACCTGTAATCTCAGGAAGCTGGGACGGAAAGATTGTGAGTTCAAGGCCAGCCTTGGACACATAAGACCCTGTCTCAAAACACTAGAAAAAAGACTAGTTGTGGTCGGTGACATGTATGTGCATGTATTCTTCACACAGAGCACCTAATATACACACACCCTCTGTACATATGTGCACATACACCTCCTGCATGAATTTCTAGCCAGAAGAGGAACTAAGATGGAATCTTTGTGCATTTCTATACACACAAGTGCATGTGCATGTGGGTTTGTGTGTGGAGACATTAACATGTGTGACTTTGGAGGCACATGTATGTGCTCATGAATATATATTCATGAAGAATGACTTTGTACATGTGTGAGCATGTGTGTTTATGACATGTGAGTCTATATGTAGACAGAGGGATCGTGGATATGCATGCAAGTGCAAGTATGTGGGTGGGTATGTGCGTGCCTGAGGCACAGGGGTGTATGGTGTGTGTGTGTGTGTGTGTGTGTGTGTGTGTGTGTGTGTGTGTGTGTGTGAATGCGCGTGTGCATGTGTGTGTGTGCGCGCGTGTGTGTTGAAGTCTCAAAAGCCCTCAAGTCCACACCTGGAAGGTCACTTCCCGCTCCTCGCCGAGATCCGTTTTGTTGCCAACTAGCATCACCACCACCTCTCCTGGCTGGAACTCCTTCTCCAGGTCCTCCAGCCACTGCTGGGCCTTGTGAAAGGAATCCTAAAGAGACAGAGCAGAAACCAGGCTGGAGTTCTCCTTGCCGAACCAGAAGAGCAAAGCTCCCATGTGGGTACAAAGCCACATGGAGACCTTGTTCCAGAATGCAATGTCAAGGGGCTACTCTGGTCCCCTGAGGGCATCTGGGATGGGCTGGCCCTGCTAAGGAGGACTGTGCAGCCAGGCAGCACACCAGAGAGCCAGGGACATCGATGTCACAGGAGTTTGGAGTCGAGACACCATTTTGTGCAGGAGAGTTCAAGGGAACGGTTATCTCCCCCAAACCCAGATCCTAACTGTAGCTCCTCATAGGCCAGGCAAGAGGCTTGACCTTGTGTCCTCTGGCACCTGTTTGCTGACCTCTGACATCATATGGAGTCCCATGTCTCCATGCTCCTGGACCTGTGCCCAACATGTGCTTTTTGGATCTACTGCAATCTTTTATCTGTAACCCTCCCCCAGGTCTCTGGTACCTTCTATACCTTCTACCCAATATAACTAGTCCACACTTCCCTACCTCCTGTGAGAGGTCCTGGGGCAGCAAGCTCACCCTGTCCTAGGCCAGGTTGGACACACTCAGGCATGCGAGTCCAAGTCCTTCCATATCAATTCCACGAATGCTCTGTGTTCTGCAACCCCTGGTGACACACACTGACTGGATGGCCTATGGAGGGGGGCTAGCTCTGAAACAGCCCCGTGCCAGCTCAGCAGCACACTAGGACCATTGACCATGGTGCTGTGGGGGTAAGGAGTGTACCAGGAGATTACAGAGAAACAGAGCCCAGCTTTGGGTGTGAGGGGTTGCTGAGAGGACCCTCTGAAGGAGGGGAGCAGCACAGGCTCGCTGGGCCCTTTGGTTGATGTAGTAGTTACTATAACCCATGGCTCCAGCCCTGTGTCCTTGCCAATGACCCCTATAGAAGGCAGTAAACATACAGTTGCCTAGTGAAGGAGGTGGGAAGTGACCCTACCTTCCGGGTGATGTCATAAACCAGGAGCGCAGCATTGGCACCCCTGAAATAGAGGTGGCAGACACTGTGGTACTTCTCCTGGCCGGCTGTGTCCCAGATCTCAAGCTTCAGAGATGAGGAGCCCAAATCCACCACCTTGGTGAAGAAGGCACCTGCAATAAGGAGACCAAGGGAGTGTTTGCTCGGGGTAAGGTGGTCATCTGTGGCTCCTGGTGTGTCATCCTGATCTATGCTCAGCAGCTCGCGGAGAGGCAGCTAAGCCCATGCTGACAAGCTGTAAATGCCTGTTCCAGAAGCTGAAGCCTCTCTACACAGCAAAGTGCAGCTAGCAAGCTGCTTTGTGTCCCTTAGAGGTTTCTCCTTGGGGTGATGCTAACGTCTTGGGAAGAAGTAAAGACCCTGAGTTAAGAACGACATGGGATGGCCCTCCAGAAATGAATAATCTGTCGTGTCACTACAGTGTCCACGAATGCCATTAAACTCAGAGAATTCTTGTGCCTCAGTCTCTCTGGTGCACTGACCACTCAGCCACCTGTCCCACCCTGAAGCCACCCTCCTCAACTCCTTCCCCTGCTCACTCCTCTGATGTTCTCCTCCCTTCAGCACCTAGAAATCTCTCGTGAGTTACTTAATTCTGCATCTGTCAGCTGCAAGAGCAACTGCAGTGCTCCCACCTTGCGGTGCTCCCACTTTCCAGTCCTCCCACTTTCCAGCGCTCCCACCTTCCAGTGCTCGCACCTTCCCCTGAACATTCTGCGCAGCCACCAGGGGTTCCCTTTCTCCTTCAGGCAGCACCTTAACCAAATCACAGGAACTATCTCCACGCCCTCCTGTAACATGCAATCCACCTGTACTCTGAAGATACTTCCCCTTGAACTTTGCTTCCCATACTGAGTTTTCGTTTTTAATTATGTGTATGTGTGAAGGTGTAGGGTGGGTTTGGGCACATTTGTTCAGCGCCTATGGAGACAAGAAGAGAACACTGACTCCTCTGGAACTGGAGTTACAGATGGCTATGAACTGTCTACTGTGGGTGCTGGGAACAGAACTCCAGTCTTCTGGAAGAGTGGTATGTGTTCTTAACTGATGATTCATCTCTCTGCCATGATGTGATTTTAAAATAGTTATTTTATGGTGCCAACAATATTTCAAGTGTGTGAGCTAGAAAGGCACTAGAAGCCAAGGAGAGTCGGGAGCCTGGGACATGAAGGGTCAGCATAGACTGAGGGCTTCGCTCAGAGCCACTTCCCTGCACAGACCCAGGGTAGATTTGGAACCAGTTAGGGGAGATTCTGGCAAACAGACCCCCATGCATAAAATGAAACTTCCAGCTAAAGGACACTGCATAAGTAGCCCAGGGCTGGTATAACAAGTGACCACTGAGTGCCTTAAAAAAAGGAAATCCATTCTTTCAGTTATAGAAACCAAAAGCCCCAGGTCAAGCTGTGGGCAAGGCCAGTTCCTTCTCAGGGATCTGAGAGAGAACCCACCCCCATCTCTCTCCAACTTCCAGGGAATCTCTCTAGTCACTTTTGGTGTTCCTTGGCTACGAGCTTACCACCTCAAACCGGGCTCTGGCCTTAACTGATGTCCTGATTAGCCTCAACTGTCAACTTGACACAGCCTAGAGTTATTTTAAAAAGTCTCAGCTGAGGGGCTGTTCAGATCAGATTGCCCTGTGGTCATATCTGTAAGGGACTGTCTTGATTAATGATTGACATAGAAGAACCAGCCGCTGTGAGACCACTACCCCTAGGCAAGCAGGTCTGGGCTGTCTGCAAAAGCAAGTGGAGGGGGTGGAGAGATGGCTAAGTGCTTAATAATACTGACTGCCCCTCCAGAGGACCAGAGTTTGATTCCCAGATCTCAAGCTTCAGAGATGAGGACCCCAAGTCCACCACCTTTGTGAAGAAGGTATGGGCTGGGGGTGGGGGTGGGGGAATAGAAGGATCACATACTGCTGGCCTCGCTCTAGGTTCAGTGAGAGAGACCCTTCCTCAAGAGGATATGGTAGAGAGGGATAGAGCAGGACACCAGACACCCTCCTGTGCCCTCTATGTGGGCATGCAACCACACACATATGTGCCCACATCCTAAGTGCATACAGAGAGGGAGAGAACTGAGAGGGAGGGAGGGTGGGGAGGGGTGAACCTCATCTGCTTTCTCCATATACAATCTTGCTCTTCCTCATTTTTCTTTTCCAGTTTAAACGTGATAGCTGAGAGTTCTCAAAATCCCACAGAGGTACAAGGGCAGGGCACACACAGGCAATGACCCATTAGCCAGGGCTGAGATGTTTATACAACACAGAGCTGAGCCTTCCTAGAGAGAAGGGAGCTATTACCTCACCAGACCGGTCTGCACAGACTGGTAATCCCTGAGGCAGTGTGTTCTGGGGGGAAGTGGACGGCCACATAATAAGATGGAGCAGGAAAGGAGAAACCCAAGTCTCAAGTCCACTGAGGACAAAGCTTCCTGTCACTTCTGAGATTGGAAAAAAAAATCAGGGAGAGATGTCTGGAAGCAGGAAGAACATCCATTTAGGGAGAAAACTCTAACAGGTATGACAAAAATGATGGGCATGGGATAGGGGTTGCTCTCTAATCTCTCCTTGCTCCAAACTACAACATGCCATGTGAGATAGCCCATACTCATCATCACAGCACAGAGGAGACAGAGACATGAGGATGGAGGGTCCAGGCCAGCCTGAGCTACACAGTGAGCCCTTGTCTCAAATGCATACATACACACAAAGATATATACATATACATATACATATACATATACATATACATATACATATACATATACACATACACATACACATACACATACACATACACATACACATACATATACATATATATACATTCATATGTAAGCAAGCACACAGGCAGTTGTTTTCTCTCTCTTCCCTTATAGCATACCCTGACCTCACTGCCCATCCCCCATACTGAAGCCTTCTAGGAACAGAGACCCTATCCCTGGGTCTACACACTCACAAATGTCAGCTGGGCTGAAACCTGACCCCTAACCTGATCCCTGACCCCTAGCCTGACCCCTGACCCCTAGCGAAGGTTGTTTCTGTTCATTTCCAGAACAGTGTGCCCGCCTGCCCTTGATAGACATCTAGCCCCTCCCTGTAATCGGGCATATCCAGCCTTGGGTTGCAGGGCAGGGGCCATCCTGAGGCGGACCACACTCCCATCTCCCCCTACCCGGGCTCTCCTCACTTACACCCCACAGTTGGCAAGACATTGCTGAAGTCCTGCTTCATGTACCGGAGGGCCAAGCTGGTCTTGCCCACAGAACTGCTTCCAAGCAGAACCAGCTTGCTCACGTGGGGCTGGCCAGAAGTAGTGCTGGCCTGTGGCAGCCCGCCTGCCTGTGCCATGGCCTGCAAACAACCACAGAAGACAGAAGTAGATGGAAAACCTGTGGTCAAACCACCTCAGTGAGTCTAAGACATACACAAACACACCACACATATACACACACCACACATACACACATACACCACACATACACACAAACACTACATACATACACACATGTGCATACACCACACACACACACACACACACACACACACACACACACACACACACACAGGCTGCTTCCGTAGAATGCAGACCTGTTGATCAGAGGTCCTGCCCAACGCCTGCTCCACTCTGTAGCCCAGCCCCAGCTCCTCATCTGTAAACTGGAACAAACAGAAGAAACTGTCTAATGGGTGACACGGGGCTCTGAACCCTCTCTACAGTGAGCTCCAGCAGCTCACATGAACTGTTTGTCCTAATTCACTGCTCTGTTTCCCACTCTTACAAACTTCCTATTTGTTCCAAGCACACGATAGAGGTCAAAAGCACCAGGGCACCTCTCAGTTGTTCCTGGATTAAACTTGGTGTTTCCAAATTGTTCCCAAGAAAAATTTCCTCAACTCATGAGAAAGGGATTTTTAAAAACAAAAGCCACACTCATTACCAACAGCCCAGACCACCCAGTACCCAGGGAGATGTCTCTTCCCGTCAGCATCAGCCAATGCTTCTCAAGACTCAGTAGGTTCCCTTTTCCTCAAACCCTCTTTTCAAATTAAAACTTTGCTCTGCTCTGGGAGGTGGGTAATCATCCTATGGCCAGGAGTGTGGGGCACACCTACAATCCCAGCATGCGAGAGGCTGAGGCAGGAGGATATCAAAATTGAGTCTACACAGTAAGACTCCATCAAACAATAAGGAAGAAAAAAATGAAAGGAGGGAGAGAGGAAAGGAAGAGAAGGAAGAGGGAGGGAGAAGAGGAGGGAATGGAGGAGAGACAGAAGGGAAGAGGGAAGGAAGAGAGGAGGGAGGAAGGGGAGGAGGGAGGGAAGAGAAGAGGGAGGAAGGGGAGGAGGGAGGGAGGGAGAAAAGGAAGGGAGAGGTATCTGTGTCTCCAGGGCCTCACACACCTCAGTACTTTCTGTTGTCTCTAATACGTCAGAGCCCAGCTCTATAGTGACAACATGGACACCCTGCATCATGTCAGTGACAGCAGCTTCCAGGTACACATCACACCAGCTGGGGCTGTGTGCCCAGTGCTCACTCTCACAGGAACTCCCAGGCTCCTGCAGGAAACCCAGAGAGGTCCATGTGCTCTCCCCCTTTATAAGCCATGTGTGAAGACATCAGGTTACATGTGCCCCAGCCTGCTGTTGATGTCCATGTGCTGACTTGACTGCATCCCTGTGAGCTCTGTATGGGGTTGTGGTTCAGGACAGAGATCTGATCTCATATAGACCGTATGGGTCAGGAATTTATTTATTTATTTTTTTGAGTGTGGTATGCACATCCCACTGAAGTAAGAAAGTATCTGCTTGTCTCTTTTTTTATGTTCACAGTCATCGGAGCCCCTGGGTCTGTTGTATCATGAAAGGAATGAGAAATGGTGAGACTGGGGTGTTATCCCTGGTGTCTATTATCTGGACCACTTCTAGGAAAAGAATGTCCCCTTATTAATGTCTACACCCATTACGGGCGGCTAGACTCTCAAATAGAGCCTTTCCCTACCACCTCCACAGCAGGCAAAGCCTGAGTGAGAACAGAGGCGGGGCAAAGGGAAGATGGACAGGAACCGTAACACAGACCACTTGAGACTATAGTGACAGAAGATAAGAATATAGCATAGACAGCAGGTCTCACACGGAGGGCTAATTCCAAGGCGCCATTCTAGAGAGAAGTAAGAAGGCTCCAGAGCTCCTCCGGCCAGCAGCACAACAGTGACCACTAGTACAGCATGGTCCATCCCAGAGGGACCTCTAGAGTTTCTCTCATGCATTGATCACAGAGCAAGATCACACACACACACACACACACACACACAAACACACACACCTAAGTTGTCTGTTTCAAGCTTTTTAAAACTCTGTTCACCCAACATCACAAAATTAATTGGCTATAAATTAAAACACAGATGACCAAAGCCACTACTATGTTACCTGTGTTTCTTCAGGGCTGGCAACAATGCCTAGCACATAGGAGCTGCTTAGCACACACCTAAGCAGTGAGTGGATGCGTGGATCTGTGGGTGGATGCGTGGATCTGTGGGTGGATGCATGGGTGGATCTGTGGGTGGGTAGACGGGTGATGTGCAGAAACTCAATGGATGAACACATAGGTGCAGAGATGGGGGTGAGTGAGCAGGTGAGTGGATGAGTGTGTAGGGCTGGAGAGATGGCTCAGTGGTTAAGAGCACCGACTGCTCTTCCAGAGATCCTGAGTTCAACTCCCAGCAACCACATGGTGGCTCACACCCATCTGTAATGGGGTCTGGTGCCCTCTTCTGGTGTGTCTGAAGAAAACAATGGTGGTGTACTCATATGCATAAAATAAATACATTTTTTTTAAAAAAGAGAGAAAGAAAAACATTTGTTAAAAAAAGGATGAGTGGCCGGGCGGTGGTGGCGCACGCCTTTAATCCCAGCACTTGGGAGGCAGAGGCAGGCGGATTTCTGAGTTCGAGGCCAGCCTGATCTACAGAGTGAGTTCCAGGACAGCCAGGGCTACACAGAGAAACCCTGTCTCAAAAAACCAAAAAAAAAAAAAAAAAAACAAAAAACAAAAAACAAAAAACAAAAAACCGATGAGTGTGTAAATCAATAGGTGGATAACTAGGATGAGTGGATGGGTGATGGATGGATGGATGGGTGATGGAGTAATCAATTGACTGAAGGGTGGAGGGCAGGATAAACACTTTATCCAGCACCTGTGTTTTTGAAATAGTAGGAGAGAGAGAGAGATTGAGAGAGAGAGAGAGAGAGAGAAAGAGAGAGAGAGAGAGAGTGTGTTGGCCTCCAGAAATGGTGTGTGCAGACTCCTCCCAGAAACTCCACCCTTTGAGCCTAAGGGCATGGCCAGAGTTCAGAATCCTGACTAGGGACCAGGAGGGACACTGCCAAGGGTCATCCATCAACTCCACAGCAAACAGCTTTCCTCAGGAAAGCTCTAGCCCTGCTCCCTACCCCCAGAGTCAGTGCAGCTCTCTTCAGCAGTAGCCTCCTGCCTGATGCCACCTCTGCCACCCTAGTCCCTCCCACATGTGTCCAACCCCAACAACCAACAGCATAGAGTCAGGCCCTGCCATCACAGAGCCTTGCTCCGTCTCCCTTGATTGGACCGACCGACCTCGGCTTTCGATTGCATGTAAATAAGTATACCTGTATTATCAGTGGCTCAGCTTTTTCACCGGGTTGTCACCACCACCCTGAAGCTGGATTACCTTCAGTGAGCTTGCTGTAGTCACTGAGGGCTCTGAAGTCACTAGGGAACAGCAGGTGATCAGTATCTCCTGAATGAACCCGGAAGTCGCTTCACAGATTCTACCTGGATTGATGTGCCTTCTGCCCCGGAGCTCCCATGCCAGTCACACCCTGATGCTTGTTGGAAGTGTGCCTGGTGTGCTTATAGAAAGGGCGGCAGGGCTGCTGGCAGGCACTGAAGGACCTTCACAGGTCACCCCAGGGCCAACCTGTACATGGTTCAAATGAAGCTGTCCAGAGTGCAGCTGTCAGGGCCCTCCAGAGAAAAACAGAGTGGGGAAGTTCTCTGAGCCCACCTGCTCCTGCACACAGATATCTGCCAAAGCTGGGTGGGAAATCTAAGGGCCTGGGCATCACTGCCAAAGGCCCAGCAGCTTTCCAAGGCAAGGACACGAAATTGAGGGCTGGACTGTGATGATATTTTTATGCTTGTAGGGTCCCTGAGGCACTAGCTCAGTCCAGCTGCTGATAACGACAGACAGGATATGCCTCAGGAGTGGTACAGGGGAACTCTGCCTTTGCACTTCCAAAACAACACCAATAGTTGTAAGCCTATAATCCCAGCACTTGAGATGCTTAAGTAGGAGATCGACACACGTTTCAAACCTTTCTGGGCTACAGAGTAAGATCCTACCTCAAAATAGTAACAACAATAACAACAACAACGTTGACAACAGCAACGATAATAATAATCCCTCATCTTTAATGTGATCACATACTCTGACTTAATGGTCATAACAGCAAATGCAGTGTCCACATGACTGTGTCCGATTTCTACAATTATGTCACTTTGACAGTTCATTCCCTCATCGCTGATTTTTTTTCCTGGTATTATTTTCCTCTGTAATCGATAAGACCACAGCAGATGTCCTCATATTACTTTTTGAGTGACTATGTGTTGTTGCAAGCTTCCAATAACAGCCAGGCAGAACCCTCTATTCAGAGAGAAAGTTGGAAATGTGGTACCTGTCCCCTCCTCTAGAATCTAGATCTTTCTGAAGGCAGTGGCTGCCAGGTTGCAATTGGGAGTCTCTTCTCATCCTGACTTGGTCCTTCTTCAGTAGTCACAAGCCCACCTCTCTTACACCTAAGAAAAAATATTCAAGGAAGGAGGGAGCCCCAGGAGGCTGCACCCCATCCTCCTCACCCAGATCCTCCAAGCTGTTCATTCCTCACACAGAACTTCAGAACAACACGGCATTTGACAGAAGAGGAAAATCACACTGCAGATTAGAAGAGAGTTTTGGAAGAAACTCTGCCAAGCTCCTACGCTATTGCTGGAGCCTCTGCAGCCGACTGAGAAGGTCTTCTTAGAAGGTGCCTCCTCACTCACGCTGGCGGTTTATGTTCAAAACCCTGAACTGGAACTTTCTGCAAGGAAAACTCAATGGAATTTCCTTCCCAGAATATGACTTGTAACCCGAACAAGAACACTGTAGGTGGTGAACAAACTCAAGGCATCCGATGTTTCAGTTCAGCCTCTGATTCAGGTCCTGAGAACACAGGGACACACATCTGCATGCACACACACACACTCACAGCACACACACACATACACTCACACATACACACACATATACACACACACATACACACACACAGTACACACACACATATGCTCACACACACACAGCACACATACTCAACAGGACACACACAGAGCACACAGCACACACACACATTCACAGCACACACATTTACAGCATACATACACATTCACAGCACGCAGACACAGCACACAAAACACACACACACACATAGTCACAGCACACCACACACACAGCAGAGCACAATTTAAAAAAGACTCACCTGTTCACTTTGAAAGAGTTCTACAGACCATCATCCTACAGGGCTGCTGGCTCCCCCTTCTTTCCCTGGCTATGCTTCCCTTGGGTGCTGGATGACTCCTCAGGGTCCTGCCAGGAGCAGGGTGGCAGGAGCCATGCACACTGACCAGCAGCAGCCTAGCAAAGGAAGTAGGCAGGCCCTCTGCTCCTGCCAAAGCCCAAGCCTGCACAGCAGGCCTCTTCTCTTCCTGTAAACACCAAACACCGGTGCAAAGTCCCCACATGATCATGTGATCACCTGGGTCAGAGTATGCTAGAAGTCACACTCCGGTTCTCTACTCACCTCTCCGAGCTGCAGCCCAGAAGTTCAGCCCTTTCCAGGTCTCACCTGTCACAACTCCTCACACCTGAAAACGTCACAGACTTAGAGAACAGCTCTTCTGTTACAGGAGCCCACTTCTTAAGTCTTTGTGTAAACATCTCCAGTCTGAGAAGGAATGCCAAGTGGGCAGAGCCGGGGGCCAGAGCCTGGGATGGGTGTGCCCTTGAGCAGGTAATTGGGGCTGGGTAGGCCTGAGGGATCCCCAGAAGGAGAAACCCCAGGCTGAAGAAAGATGGAAATCAGTTCTACTGTGCCCAGCCACGAATCCCACGCAAACAGCATGTTCTCTCTGTGTTCAGAACTCACTTGGATTATTAGCTTGGATTGCCAAAGCACTGGGCAATGGCGAACACAGCACCATGAATGGGGGTGCAGCTGTCTTGGATTCCCAAGAGGCTTTCCAATATTCCATGAAGAAACTGTTTCTCTGCAGAGGCCACTGGCCTTCTTCTTGTCACCCTGCCCACATGTCTGGGTGCCCCCACGGCCTTGAAGACCAAGAACCTCACTCCGTCTCTGAACAGGACCCTGATTCCCTGTGCCTAGATTGGCATCCAAGGTGCAGCATCCAGCACTGCTTCTGTCCTCCTCGTGGGTGTGGCCTCTTCTGTTTATGCTGGAAACTGTATTGTTACATTACAATACAGTGACTCAGAGGTCTCTGGAGTTCAATGGAACACTGAGGTGGATTGTAGGGGACAAGACAGTTATCAAAGGGGCTTATAAAGAGTTATTAACCCCATGGACAGATAGACAACACAGCACGGTGGTCACTCTAAGGAGAGATCAAGCCGCAAAGCACCAGGGTAACAGGTAGCTCTCAGTTTGACTATCAGACTGTTGAAACAGTGACCCCAAAGAAGTGGGAATTCCCCCAGCAATCTCATACTGGGAAGCGCATTGTCTGGAAAGAGATTTCATGTGTTTCTTACAGCGTCCCAGACTACCTTATCATATGAGATTGAAGTTCTCATATTGTAATAATGACCGGTCAGTGGTGGGCGGGACCTCACCTCGTCTGAGACTGATTAGATAGATCCTTGGCCCTCTGTTTAAACTCTAATCTCACTTCAGTACCCTGAGAACAGACTTGGGGGCTGCTGGACCTGCCTTGCAACACATGCACAAGAAGCAATGGGAAGAGTATATATGTTGAAGGTATTACGTCAACTTATATAAAAACAGTAACAAACACTGAATCACACTGAAAGACTCCAGAAGCCGTTTGGTCCGTGAGGCTGGCTGCCTCAGCAGTGAGACGCAATCCCGCTGCGACTGTCTCCCTCTAGAGGGGTGAACAGCCCAGTATTTGCTCACTTCATCAGGCTGTGTACCTCTGCAGTCCCAGAGTGGTGCTGCAAATCTGGATGGTTTCTGGAGAACCGCTGGTGTCTAGTTCACAGTGGAAGGCTGGAAATGCTGGTTCTGACATCAGTGGAGGAAGCAGCTGCAATGAAAGGTATCAACTCAGAGGCAAGAGGGAAGGCCAGTTGAGCAAACAGCAAAAAATCTTCCTCTTGCTGTTCCCTTTGTATATGGGCTGCCACCAGAAGATGCTGCCCACGACTGGGGCAGGTCTTCCCACATAAATAAGGCAATCAGGACAGTTCTTCTGAGCTTACCCAATGTTGACAGAACCTTCAGTTCCCTGGGATCGAAGCACTGAGACCCCACTTCTATTGGCTGTTCAGAGTTCTTGGGGTGGCAGATCTCTTCATAGGCCACTCTCATATGGCACCCTACCTTCTCAAAGTCAGAAGAGGCCCTCTCTGACCTCTAGACACTCCCTTAGAGGCCTTGCTTGCTTAAGACAGGCCTAACAAGTACAATCTTCTTTCTGTTTAACTCAGGGTCAGCTGACAAGGGCTCCAATGATTTTAACAACACATCTTCATCGTTTTCCTGTAACACAACCGTACCTGAAGACTCAAGCCTATGGAATCACACTCCTGAGCAGGAAGAGGTGTATGCAACAAATTCCCCTCCTAGGATTCCACTACCTCGAGTCTGGGTTCCCCCACTAACACTGGGCTTATGTCCAGGAGTATACTGGTATTCAGGATGGTTTCAAGCAATCTGATCCTCTCCCAGGGTGGACCAGGATAAGCCAGAATCCAGACATTTGAGCAGAGCTGTGGGTGGACTCTTTCTCTGTGTTCCGGGTTACCCCATACCAAAGGTGACTTGGATAGTCGTCTTCTGCAAAGCCCTCTCTTGGACCAGTCAGACACCTGTCTGCTCACTCCTGAAGGCAGGGGTTACATGCCTGCCTGGCTGGCCTGTGTGATTAAGTCATTCAGGTGCTGAGCACAGCCTGCTGTGAGAGAGAAACCAAAGGGTGTGTCCTCCAAGCTTACTCTACTTCAGGGTTGATGAGGACCCACAACTCCAAAATTCAGATTGTAACTAGAACCATTGCTGCTGCTGCTGGAAACAAGATAAAGCAGTTCCTAAGTCATTTGCGTATGTGGCCATAGTTAGCGTTATTTTTCAACCTTGGACACTGAGGAGAATTCTCACTAAGTCAGGTTAGTGTGTCACATGGACATGCACATAACTTTCAAACTCTCAAAAGAAGTCAGAACTATGCCAGGCTTGGTGACACACACCTGTAAGCCCAGCACTCAGGGAGTAAGATGGGGTGGGGAGGGGGTGGGGCAAGATAGCATTGGGTTCATAGTTAGACAATATATTTTTTTAAAAGGCAAAATTATAGAACTGGGTATAATTGCGGGGGCTGCAGAGTCTATGCAAACCCGTCTCAACCTCCATTCAATGAGAGCTTCTTGCTGTCCTGTGATCTCTAGAACTATATTCTCCAGAACGTCCTACCCCGCTCCCCACAGAAGCAGCCAGACCTACTGCTGCCTAGACATGTGTGAGAGTTTTGTGAACACGTTTAACTGTACTTTTGAATATATGCATGCATGTGTCTCTGTGCGGGCTTGTACATGTGCACGCAGTGCTGTGGAGGCCAGCAAGAGGGCTTCAGATCCCCCAGAGCTGCCAGTATAAGCCCAGCATGGTTACTGGGACCTGAACTCTGCTCCTCGGGAAGAGGTGTAACCACTCTTAACCCCTAAGCCATCTCTCCAGCCCCTCTTTATTACGTTTTTATCCATTCATCATATACGTGTGAACATGCGTGTTTCTGCACACACATGTCACAGTGCACTTACTGAAGTCAAAGGACTACTTATGGGAATCCCTCCCCTACATGGATTCTGGAGGTGGAGCCCACAAAGCTTGGCATTAAGTGTCTTTGTCCACTGAGCCATCTCATAGGCCACCTGTTTGTGACTTTCAAGCAGTTCTCCGGGCTTGCAGCAGAACAACTAACTGCTTTCACAGGAATGTGCCCCTGTTCTCCTATGCACAGACCATAATTGTGGGCCCCATTGCCGATGTATCCAGCTTTCCAGCAGAAGCAACCAGATGACCTAGCTCTGGCCAGCAAGGCATATGGGTGTTCCCCTAGGGGCAGCCGAGCCGCTCCTTCCTTGGGCTTCCTTGCAGAGCTGTGGCTAAAGACAAACAGACCGATAGTCATCTGCAGTCCCCTCTTCTGCAATGTTCTAATCTCCTAGCCTTGAGATAAACAGGAACTGGGGAGCGTCTCTCCCTGAAACATTTACCCCGCTTATCTCAATGTAAAATTCCAGCGGTGGTTTCTGAATGCCAGGCTAAATTCCTCAGCTCAGCCATCGTTGCTGCAAGTGGCTAATCATGCAGCAGAAGGAAGCCAGGAAAAGGCAGTCAGGTCCTGTCTCAGGTAATCCCAGCAGGGGGAGACAGAGCCCTGCAAAGTGACAGGTCACTCTCCAGGGTTCAGGGGACTAGGCAGGAGAGAAACACTGCAAGATAGGTCAAAAAGGATAGGAAAAGGTCAGGAAAGACCCCTCCAGGAGGAAATGCTTACGTAGGCACAGTCAAGAGGACAGGAGTGCTCTCTTCCCAGGAACAGAATGAACAATGTAAGGCCAACTGTGTGCTAGACAGGAGATGCCATCAGCAGGCAGAACTGAGCAGGCAACAAGAAAGGCAGGTGGCAGCTGGGCGGTACTGGCACACACCTTTAATCCCAGCACACAGCAGGCAGATTTCTAAGTTTGAGGCCAGCCTTGTCTACAGAGCAAGTTCTAAGACAGCTAAGGCTACACAGAAAAAAACCTGTCTAGAGGGGAAAAAAGGCAGGTGGCAAAGATGAGCCCAGATGGTTTGTCCAAGCTTGTCCCCAGGCTGTGAGCAAAAGGATGCAGAGTACTTGGGACCGAAGAGCACAACTCCGGATTGTGCTCCCACATCCTGGAACCAAAGAACTCCCCGTGCAAGTAGTTCCAAGTGCACGTCTGGGGCCTTCAGGGGTTCACCCTTCCCAAAGCATCATCGCGGGCTCCTGGCCAGTCATAGCAAGGAACAGCTGCCAGGTGAGAGTGTTCCTAGAGCATAGATATGCAGCAAGGCACCTATATGTTTATCCTGGTGTGGGATGGACCTGGCAGGAAAGTAAGATCAGAGTAAGACCAGGCTAGCTCATCCTGGCCAGTGATCCAAGGTTCTAAATACAAACATGGGCTTCTTGGTGGTAAGAGAGCAGATAGGTATAGTCGTGGGGTTCTCTAGGGAAATAGAGTCAGGAAGATGTGTGTGTGTATATTGCTATTCCCTCAAAGAACATATTTGTGTGTGTGAATTTATTAAGTCGGCTTATGTTAAAATACCAACAACAGTTGAATTGTACCTGAGAGACTGAGAACCCAGTAGTCACTCTGTCCCTGAGGCTGCCTGCCTCAGCCGTGGGGCTCATTTCTCAGCAGCTG